GAAGGAAAGGAAAGGAGGGAAAAGGAAAGAAAGGAAAGGAAAAGAAGGAAAAGAAAAGAAGGAAGGAAAGGAAAGGAGGGAAGAAGGAAGGGAAGGAAAGGAAAAGAAGGAAGGAAAGGAAGGAAAGGAAAGGAGGGAAGAAAGAAGGGAAGGGAAGGAAAAGAAGAAAAGGAAGGGAAAGGAGGGAAGAAAGAAGGGAAGGGAAAAGAAGGAAAGAAAGGAAAGGAAAAGAAGGAAAAGAAAAGAAGGAAGGAAAGGAAAGGAGGGAAGAAGGAAGGGAAGGAAAGGAAAAGAAGGAAAGGAAGGAAAGGAAAGGAGGGAAGAAAGAAGGGAAGGGAAGGGAAGGAAAAGAAGGAAAAGAAGGAAGGAAGGGAAAGGAGGGAAGAAAGAAGGGAAGGGAAAAGAAGGAAAGAAAGGAAAGGAAAAGAAGAAAAAGAAAAGAAGGAAGGAAAGGAAAGGAGGGAAGAAGGAAGGGAAGGGAAGGAAAAGAAGGAAGGAAAGGAAGGAAAGGAAAGGAAAGGAGGGAAGAAAGAAGGGAAGGGAAGGAAAAGAAGGAAAAGAAGGAAGGGAAAGAAGGAAAGAAAGAAGGGAAGGGAAAAGAAGGAAAGAAAGGAAAGGAAAAGAAGGAAAAGAAGGAAGGAAAGGAAAGGAGGGAAGAAGGAAGGGAAGAAAAGAAAAAGGAGGAAGTAAAGGAAAGGAAGGAAAGGAAAATTAAATTGTAAAAAACAAGATGGATAAGACAAGACACAGAATTCTCTAAAACTACGGGCAACCTCAGAAACTGGAGGGTTTCCCCTGTTTGCAATGCAAATCCCATCATCCGTGCCCCGGCCCCCTCAGACCGATGGGAGCGGGAATCCAAATCACCCACTACGTTGGCTTTACGCCCTGTCTTTATTTTACTCTAAACGCCTTTAGCCTCAGCTGATTCCCACCTTTTCCCCCCCTCCCCTCTTTTTTCCTGGGGTTCCCAGGGGGAGGGCGGGGGTGGGGGGGTTTGGATGCGATCTTTATGACGTTGACCCCTTCCGCCCTCGGAGGCCCTTCTGGACAATAGCCCCTATTAACCCCCGGCCCTGGCCCACCCACCCCATTGTTCGCGGGGCATTTCCCACACTTTTGGGCAAGCCTTGAAACTGTTCAAAAGCGGGGCAGGAGAAAAAAGGGCCATTCACCCTCTTGAAAAGCCCGTCTGGGAAGATCAAACCGCCTTTCGGAAGCCCCTTTGGGGAAACCTGGGAACGGGACCCCCCCCTCCCCTAAATAGCTTCCCCGGCTCAGTTTCAGCCCTTCTCAGTCAGAGGCAGCGGCCGTTTTTTCTACCTTTTGGTTCAAGGGGCTTGAGAATTCCTCTCCCCCCCCCCC